CGTTAAATATCTAGCGCTATAATTTGCAATATATGTAATTTATAGCGCCTTTCTAATTTACTTTTCAATTTTATTACGCAATTTCCAGTGCTATCAATATTTACAAAATAAAGTATTTTTCGATAAAAAGTCAAAGCATTTCTATATTAAAGGAGCGAGAGAAAAACACTAAAGCGTGCGAGAGAGACAGCTACTGTTTGACGATGAGATCATCATTGCCCCTCTTGCCGCTCACCCCGCTCAGCATTTGCCCCTCTTGCCGCTCGTCCCGTACAGCATTAGCCCCTCCTGCCGCTCGTCCCTCTTTGCGCATGAGGTAACCTTCTCTCTATAGATCTTGGGTAATATTATACTATATATTATAAAGACAAACGTTTCGACCTATATTTACTGCGTTCGGCATTATAAATCTGAGATGCGAGCTAGCAAATGGCGAGCTTGAATCACATGATCTTTGAGCAATCCGAGCACCGATATTAATTCCGAACGATACAGAGCATAGAACTGTCAGAGTTATGTAAAACTGTTAGTTAAGGTTATAAGATTACAAGATCTTTTTATGTGAATGTTTAACATATCGTCAACCATATATTTTTCTGGTTTTTTGATATTAAAGATTACAAGATTATAAAAGATTTAAGGTTACAAGATTGAGACTAGAAGAAAAATTAAAATTGGATATTTATTTTTTAATAAAATATAAAAAAATAAAAAATAGATGAAATGGTTTTTATTATTAATTTTGCTCAAGACATATTTTTTGATGACAGTGATGATGAAAATAAAAAGTTAAATATTGCTAAAGTTTATCAATATGCAGAAATTGTTCCTCGGTTTTCGGATAAGACATTTCAAATGCATTTTCGAATTACAGCGGATACTTTTGAAGATCTGCTTGTAAAAATTCATAGCATTGAAGAAAATAATACACATGTTGGACACAAACTACTCCCGTTAGAAAAACAATTAATGATTACCATTTGGTGCTTAGCAAATATTGAATCTTTCCGGTACACTTACATAATATCATATAAAGACTTGAATATTTATAATTGAAAGAAAACTTATCTACTTTTTTATACTTTCAGATCAGTAGCCGATCGTTTTGATTTTAGCAAAAGTACTTGTTGGGACGTACTATACAGAACTTGTAAAAATATATTACAAGTTAACAGATATAAAATTATATCATGGCCAAATAGAGAACGTGCTCTAAGAATAATGAGACAATTTCAAGAAATTAATGGCTTTCCTAGTAAATATTATAAATCTTTTATTATCTCAATTTCAAATTTTTTAATCTTTTTTTTTAGGTAATTATTCGAAGCCATAGATGGATGTCATATTCGTATATTAAAACCAAAAATAATCCAAATTCTTATTGTAACAGAAAAAATTATCATTCTATTCTTTTACAAGGTGTATGTGACAACAACAAATTATTTCTAAATATTTATACTGGAGAGCTAGGATCTATTCACAACATGAGATTATTTAGAAAATCTGATTTGTATGAAAGAATAAAAAACTCATTAATTGATTTTCCTGAAGATAGCCATCTAGTAGGAGATCTGGCTTATAAGTTATCTTCATATTTATTAGTTGGCTTTAAAAATGTTGGTAGATTAACTAATAGAGAGAAAAATTTTAATCATAAATTATCACAATGTCGTGTAGTAATAGAGAATGCATTCGGATATCTTAAGGGACGTTTCAGACGCTTAAAATATCTTGAGACTATTAAACTTGATCTAATTTGTTTACTAATTATTTCTGCATGTATTATGCATAATATTTGTATTTTAAAAAAAGACTTGCCTGAAGAATTTATAGATGAAATAGAATTGAGAAACGCAAGAGAAGATAATGAGTTTCTGGCAAACATTAATGAAGATCAAGGACATGACGAAGCTTTATTAAAAAGGAGAGAAATTATGAATGTTTTTTCTATTCAAAATGTATAGTTGAAATATTATTTTATTTATAAACGCAAAATTACAAACATAACTGTAATCTAAAGCTTGTTAAAAGTTAAAAACAAAAAAACATTTTATTTTACTTATAAATTTTTACCATTTTTTTAGTCAATAGGTACTTAAAATTCGTAACATTTAACATTATTATAAGAGTTTTTTTTAGTTACACGCATATATCTAAATATAAATGCATATCACACATGAAAATATCACATATTAAATGTTACATATAAACATATACTAACAGTAAGTGTTAACGCATACATGTTATCCTATGTATAGTCATGGAAAAAATAAAATTACTATATTATTCATTATTCATTTTGTTTAAGACTATTTTGTTTACAAAAATTCTTATCTAATAAATCTTTGTTATCTTGTACATACATACATAAAGACTTATTTTTAAACATAACAGAAATACATATTTGACAGAAGAACATAATAAAATTAAAAAAACATTAAAGTAAGATATTTGTATGTATTTTAAGGAACTTTAGTTAAATCACAGTATGAAATTTCGTAGAAAATTTTTACTTACTACAGTATTATAAGTATTATATTATTATATTATTATTGTAATAGAAACCCTTTTTAACTATACACTCATCAAAAACAAAAAAATAATGCTGTTCCAATTTAATCTGACGATCCTTTTCTAGTATCTTTAGTTTTATTACGAAGTATCTCAATGTATTCATTGAAACAATTCAAAAATTCATCCTGCCTGCGCATTTTTTCTTGGCGTCTTCTTTCTATAGCAGAAGTTGCTGCTGAACGTTTTTTAGAAAAAGAGGACGTATACGTAGATTTTTTTTTATCACTCTAGAGGAGCATTCTTCATCTGTATTAACTACTTCACTTGTGCTTTTATCAGTATTGCTTAATTCTTTCTTAAATACCAGTCCTTTATTACTACTACATGTAGCTACAGGTGTAATTTCTGGTTTATTGTGAAGTATTTTATTCATTATCTCAAAATATTCCCATCGTCTTCGATTTTTCCCTGATGTTGCATTATGTTCTTTAATATCTTTATATATCTTTAACAAGCCTTTCCATTTTGTATCACATTGTTGCCATGTAAATAAAATATCTAATTTATCTTTAAGAGTTTTGGATATTTTCATCCAAACATACTTTTTTCAATGAACTTTGAAATTGGTCTTCATATTCTTCAACTAAGTTAATCAATGCCAAAGTGGATTCAGTTGTCCAAAGTTTCTTTTCTTTAAGATTTTGTAGATTTTGTTCAGATGATTGATTTTCATTCATCTGATCACTCATCTGTTCTACATTTTCTTTATTAGCTTCTATACAAACAGATTGATAAGTATTATCTGTAAAATAAAAAGTTTAAAAATTTTTTAATATTTAAAATTAAAAAAATATATTAACCGGTTCTTTAGTTTTATCCTAAAACGTAAGATGAATAAAAAGCTGTTAAAGCTTTTAACCTAAGCTTTTTACCTAAGCTTTTAACCTAAGCTAACCCCGGTAAAAAAACATCTCATAATTTCCTAGAAAATTTTAAGAATTTTTCATAATTTTATTTTATGAAAAATTCTGAGAAAAAATTTCTTATTTATTCATATTTTTAAAACATTTTTTAGAAAATTATAAGAAATCTCAGAATAAGAAATCTCAGAATATTTTCCATTTATACGTATGAGAAATTTTTATCAAATTTGTTTTGAATAAAAATATGAATTATCTCCGTATTATTCAGAATATTTATGTGAAACTTGTAAAATATTTGATATTTATATAAAACTATAAAAATATTTATATAAAACTTGTAAAAATATTTGATATTTCTAAAGACCTGTGTCCACGATGCAAGATATTGGTCCAAGTTCTTGGTCTGAGAAATGTATAGCCAATTAAATTGAAGTTCTTATGAAAAAACAGCAAGTTGATTGGTTACACATTTCTTGAAGCAATCCAATCATTTTGGGCCAAGAA